TAAAAATGTAAAACTTATTTGTAGCTCATTTTACCTAATAAGTATAATAATACAAAAATATAATATAAAATATAATAATATAATTAGTATAATACAGCAATAACTATAATAATATAATTACACCAAAGTAGATTTTGAATGTACCTACCCAATAAAGTTTTTACTCGTTATCAACTCGAAATTGTATGTTGCCCCTGTCGGCAATTTTTGTAAATACGGGTGTGTGTGTACGTGTCGTTGATATCTAATTTAATTTCGGATTGCTGGATTGCGTATGATATTTTAGTTACAGAGATAATTAAAAATATTTTAAATTTATAGATTGTATAATTTTTTTAGTAAGGAGATATAATTATTCTTACGCACATACTGAGTCTGACACCCAGACAAGTTGTACAGATATACTATTTCTTCATATCTTAAACGGTTTAATTTTTATCAATTAACACTAAATAGAATAATTTTGAAAATTTCTTTGGTAATATAGCTAGTACATATTTTATGTTGCTACATTATAATTTAATAAAAATATGCATAAATGTATTTATGAATATTATCACTATAATAATACAGCTCGTATCTATCAATCCATTGTAATATGCATAAAATGAATATTAGGTTATGAACTTTGAGTTACGTAGTACAAACATTTTGAAATTTTTGAATAATCACAATTCAACCGATCAATTACATTCATAGATATAATAAATGTAATCAATTTTTATTCATAATGTTTTCAAAGTAATTAACAAATAACATTTTTAATATCTTATAAAATAAATATTATTATATTATATACTATGTATATGTTTTTAAAATATAAAGTGTATAAATACAAGAAAATATTTAGTGTTATTTATATCTCTAATTTTTGAATTACCGTATAGGCTATAGTCTTCATTTTTAATAATAAATTGAACAAATATTATAGTAATTAATTATTTATAATAATCAATAGCTCTATTATTATTGTTATTAAAATGGTAATTAAGATTTATATTAACATTGGTAAATTAGGTTATTAGTGACGTGTATACATGTTTACTTCATAGTGTTTTTTTTTTTTTTTGTATTGTTTTTATTACTATTTGCATAATGACATGAATTTATACGGTGTAGTGTATTGAGAATGCATTTTATTTTCAAATCTGAACATCGATAGATATGTTGCTCAATGATTATTGCATTGCTTTTATTTTAATTCAATTTTGTTATCGACACTTAAGTACCATAATAATATAATACAATTTGTTACTATGACACGTGATTGAATATTCAGGTGTTAATTGAAGAGCTTAGCTCTAGCTACAATGCTACACTATTCAAAGTATTCGGTATTGACGTTAAAAATAGATGATGGTTGGCTACTGCACTGCTGCTTTGTACCCACTGTAGATCAAGCTAGGATTGTTTTTAACTGTACATTTTTGGCTGACATAGGTATAATTCATCCATAGTCTAAATAAAATTATGTAAATTGTAGTTTGGCAGATCTAATGAAAATGAAACAACCATTATTCAGATACTAAATAGCTTATTTTATTGCTAGGTGATATTAAGTATTAAAATTTTGTTTATTATGGGATTCAATAACATTAATACATAATTAGACTACTTATAATTATATGTAATAACTTGCGAGAAAGTAAAATAAATGAGCAAAAATAGTATTTAAAAACTTTTATTTTAAAGTAATATTGCGTAAATCAACGAAAAATATTTATAATATTATGATGGTCTTAATTATTTTAATAATGTTAACAAATATTGAAATATGAAATAATATAATTATTTTTATACTACGGTTAAAATATTCTGAAATATAAGAAATGCATTATAATTTAAAATAATATATAAATTAAAACTTTAATATTGTGATGAAAACAATTAACTGCCGAATTGGATCAAATGGTCAATATAAAGTATAAACTTTCTACGTATCTACATTTTAAATATTTTAATTTATCTTGTCATGATAACAATATGTCATTTTTTATGGTAGGTACCTAAACAATTACAATAAACGTGATATTCTTAATTATATAGCTAGGTTTGAATGATCGCCAATTATAAAATTAGAGGTTATTAATTTAAAAGATAATACGTTAATATACTTTATATTATTATTAATAATAATCAATTTAGAATACATTATATTATTTGAAAAGAAATTTTGCATAATATATAATAAAAAAAAAAAAAAAAAAAATGACGATTAATAAATTATATTGAACTTTGTTGATTATTAAATAAGATGTATTTAGTTTGTATTAATAAAACAATACTGTCATTTTTTGTACAATTTCAAACAAATTATAGAAATTGTAAGACAGTACTTGGTTGTTTATGATAAATGATAATTAATTATTCTATTTAGTAATTTATGTAAATATAAATAACTGAAACGTTATCTTTGTAGATGTTTAGTAAGTGTTTACCTACTGAATTAATAATATATATATTTTGTCATTGATATATTAACAATATTATCTCTGCAGCGAGCTTTTTTTAATTATTAAATTTACTTAAATGGGTTTTTTCTTATAATCTGGAATTTTACATTTTTATCATTTCAAAAACAATTGTTTACTCGTATTTAATTTTTTTCTAAAAAAAAAAAATGGTATTTCATTAGTGTTGACATTAATAGATAGGTATAAATAAAGTTTAATGATCAAATAACAATTATTTATAACATCAAATTGATTTGAATTTCACGTGTACATTAATATGATGAAATTATATTTTATTGTGTCAGATAATATGTTTAAGATATCAGTAAAAAGTACCTATAGCGTTGAAATACAATTTATTATCTTACATTTTCATTGATTTACCTAACCATAATTTTTAACACATATCTATATTATAGTATTCATATTGGACTGAAGTGAAATTTAAGTTTTTATTCCTTAAGACTTTATTGACTATTCAACTACCATTTAATTTTGTCATTATTTTATCAAAAGCGTATGTAAAGTAGTAAGCGTAACTTCCCACTGTTTTTGTAACATACAGTAGTTAGATATTTACCTTTTTATTGTAATTTATTTTAATTATACGTATATCATTTCGTAGAAAATTATAATATAATTATAAAAACAAAGTTATATGAGTTAAATAAAATATAGATACTAGATAGTGGTTATGTGAGGGTACATAATATCAATTTTAATATGCAAATCATTAAATTTGCTACTTATTAAATCACAATATAATAAATAATGTCCTGTCCATGAGTGTATAATATTATTAAAAAATTACAAAATACTTTAAAATTAATTGTATTTATAGTTAATTAACCACATAAATTGATGATGGATTATAATTACACATTAAAATCTTTAATCGAAAATTATTTATTTGTATACTCGTACATGTTAAGAAAATCTATGTAATAATTGCAAAATCACAATAATACATTGATACATCGAGATGGCAGTTTTTATTCACACTATCAACTAGGTACTCGATAATTGTACTGATATTTTTAAAACTTTTCAACTAAATAACAACTATTAAAAATTATTCAATTTATATTATACATCGTGGAAACTTCTATTAAATTTAATATACAATATTGATTATAACAATATTCAACTTATAATCTTATATTATAACCAATTGATTACAGTCAAATTACTTTTTGTGATGTTTAAACTTTTTTTTGTTATACAATTTATTTTTTTGGTCAATTGTTTTTATACCGAATGTTTAAATAGTTATTTGAATAATAGAGGAAATCAATGGACAAGTTCAAGGTGAAAAATCTGCAGGTATTAAAATAAATTGATAGATAGGTATGATGTTAAATGATATTATCTTCAATTCGCAACAATTGAAAATAGTAATTTCTGGTACTTTCAGTTCACATTCCAGGAAATAAGCTTTAAGACTAATGATATGGATAGTCTGCCCTTGGGTCAATGTATCTCCTCCACATCTGTATATAGATATATTGATAAAATATAATTAATTCCCGAACCAAACAGTTTAAAACCCGGAGTTGTATCTTTCAAACTTGTCATTTTAATTATTGTATATCGGTTTTTTTGTTACCTTGTTTCATGTAGATGACCTTGTAATTAAAATTGAGGTCAATGTTGACATAGAATCTATATTAAAAATGTAGGTATATTATCTACCTAAATATATGTTTTTATCTATACCAGTTCAAAAGGGATGATGTAAGAGTTAGTTTCTTTTAAAATAGGTTTAAATTTATTTAAATATTAGATATCTATATTGCTAAATATGTACAGATAATTAGGTATATAAACTAATCTATTGAATAGTTAAATAACTACCTCCATATCAACTATTATTCAAAGAAAAATTTGAATAAAAAATAGTTCAAACTTGTATAAAATTACATTGCATTTCTGTAATCCTTGAAGATATAATTTTTTGCTAATTTAAATTCAAAAAGGTTTATATTTAAAGTTGAGCGAAGTCGAACGTATTTGTTTCTTTTAATTATTGAATACGTTATACACTTATACATCATTCATATATGACGTTCAATGTTATTATCAATATGTATATTTAATATACTTTTGGTATTTATTTTTTTCTAAAATTATTTTTACAAATTTTTGTATGACTATATTTTAAGAGTAATTCAAAATAAGAATAGAATGATTCAACTAAAAATATACTTTATTGGAGGAAAAAAGAAGAAAACATAATTATATAATCGTAAAAAAGAGCATATTTTTCATTCATAGTGAAAGTTATAGCGTGTATCTTAATATACCGGAATATTACTTATATACTCGCGCGTTTTGTATAAATTTTATTTTTATAATATATATATATGCGTAGTATAATAATAACAAAACAAAAATATTTGCTTATAATATGAAATCTTAATTAAACAATAATGTTTTAGGAGTAATGTTATTTTAGTTGTGTAATTTTTTTTTTTTAGCTCCGAGTATAAAACTATTACAGCTCAACGATTAAAAGTTGTGTAATTATTTTTGTATTTTGGTTTGTAGATTTAGGCGTGGTAACTCCTACTCAGATTCAATTCTTTACAAAAAATGTCGTGGAGAATACAGCAGCCGATAAGTTGAAAAACATGGGTGCCATTGCGTATGATCCTATTAAAAAAGACGTATACGTCAGCGACGCCAATCAGAAAGCCGGAAGTATATTCCGGTTTAAGACTACCGGTGATACAGCGTACACCATCATCGAACCCGTCGTTGCTAGTAAGTATATTGCGGATTTCGGCTGTCACAGCTACTAAAATTTTTACTCTTGTAAATTATAATATATATATATATATATATGTTCTGATTTTTTCCCTCAGAACAAAACGTTACCGTACTGGGTATGGTGTTTGACGAACGTACGTCCACTTTGTACTGGACTACCGGCAACGGGCTAACCATCAACTATGTTCATGTACCAGAAAATTTGACTAAGGTTCCGCTCACAGGAAACGTCTTGTTCAGGTTCAAGGATGCAATACCCCAGGGTATCGCTATCGATACGTGTCGAGGGTGAGTTACTAATTTTTAATGATTTTTATCAATTGCTTCAAAGTTGTAATATACGAATTGGTATATTTAATTGATTTGATCTGGTGTTTTCAGTTTTATAAACGCATATAATAAATGTAGATATAATATTTATGCGTATGACTTAATTAAACTATCGTTTAAGCAGAGTGACGGTTTCATATTAGAAACCAATTCTGAACAGCCAACTAAAAACGTATTTATATCGAATGCCATTTGTCATAAGTCATAACTAAATTATCCAAAATCAAAATGTCATGAATATTATTCACTCAATTTATATGTACATATATCTATAGGTATATTATACTTAATTTTATTCGAATTTACCTATTGATTTATTGTATAAATTATTATGGTTTTTAGTATTATTTTATTATAACCTAATTTAAATTATACAATGTAACATAAATATTATTATAATTATTTTCTTTTTACACTGATGACATTTTATTAATTTGAATTAATTTTATCAATTTTGATTGTAAACGTAAATTGTATAACTTAAGCTGAAATATAATTTAAATTAATGGTATACTTAAATAATGAGAGATTTAATGAAAATACAGATAGGTTACTATAATGGTAATGAGTAGTATTGATCACTTTACTTTGATAACCTTCACGCTAGCCAGTGACGGACGACGCATTACTTTAGCGAACAGATTATACATAAATATATTATGAACTTCATAATATTACAAATTTACGATACTAAAATGTTCAATAATTTTCATTTAATTGAAGTGTTTTATTTTGTATTTAAAGAAGCAACTTATAGTTCACAAAGTTAAATAACTTGTATAAAAAAAAAAATTGTTTAAGTGGGTAGTTGATCCCGATCCCGATTATTTATTAATATTTTTTCTCCGCAATAGTCTAATATTGATAAGATATTTTAAATTCTAAATATTTGTAATAAATTATATTTTTATATCGAAAAGATATAACATTCATCTTTATGTATTCAAATTACTTAAACTCAAAACCAATATATTCAATAGAATATATTATGAACTTGCCTTGTTTCTGGCTTAAACGTTCTTCTTATTTTAAATTAAAAATAAACTTTTATTACCAATACAAATAAATAATTAATTATTTAATATTATTTGATAAAATATTCAGTACAACCAACATAATAATGAATTTCGATGCAAAAACTATGTATGTCTGGACATACCAAAATGTTGTACTGAACTCTACGTCCTTTCTCCACCAAGAATCTACGTTAAAACAGTATACATTATCAGTACTTGTTACAGATTAATTCTTATTTCAATCGATACAATTTTTAAAATTAGCGTTTTTCTTAGCAAATGTTTTACAATTTACATTTGTGGCTAATTTTTCCCAGGCTCATCTCATTAAGCAACGAAATTAAGAAACTATAAGCTAAACTTGAATCTATGGTCTTCGACGATGTAACTTTAATAAGTTTAGATGATTGATCACTATCCTTCACACACATAAAGAATCTCACAAAACCATTTAAAAAACATTGTAATAGGCAATACGCTTTTCCGTGTTTTAGATATTTGTACTGGACGAACTGTAATCATTTAAACGCAACCATCGAACGGTCGCGCCTGAACGGGTCAGACCGACAAATCGTGGTGCACGAAAACCTATTTCAACCGTTGGGCATCGCAGTTGACGTGGAACGCAACTTGATCTACTGGAGCGATGAGCACGAGGGTCTATACTATAGCATCGAGAGCAGCAATCCGGATGGCAGTTCCCGAAGGAAGCTCATTCACGGCACTCATCACCAGCCGTTCTCCATAGCGATAGATTATCAGGACATCTACTGGAGCGATTGGATCAATAATGCTGTATGGACAATGCCCAAGGACTCGTTTCAGGGTGGCGTGCAGCCGACGTTAGTCGCCAAGTACGAGATGATCAACACGCCCATGGGACTGATAACGCCCACCGGCAACACTACTATGATCAACAATACATATTGCGCGATGCACAGATCAAAAGTACGTTTCACATTGATTTTTCATCTACTCTCATTCTTCGATTCTTCCCACTCACTGACCAAACTCGTTCCCTCAGCCGAAATCGATGTGTCCTTTGATGATGTCTTCAAACAGACTTTGTACTGTTTTTCTGTCTAATTTGCATATACCGTGGACACTTTGTTCAGTGGAAATAAATTGGTAATAATTGATTGCAGAAATATATTCTGAAAGATAAGATTAGATAAGATTAGATTAGAGTTTTGAATACCTACTTTTGAATCTGAATTACATAATTTTTTTTAAATTTATCTTTTTAGTATTTTAGTCGTTCACAGCTATGAATGCGGTACATATATGTTTTCGTAAATTTTTATTCTTTAATTCGGTATTTTTATGTTTATAAGTATTCGAGATTAGTGTCGGTTTTAGATTACCTCAATAAAACATTAAATAATACATTAAACGAATCGGATGTTAACTAGACATCGATAACGCACATAGCTTGCTTATAATCAATTGTGTCGGTTATCGATCCTTGCTCCCTATGTACTAGATTATGACTACAACTCATATGCGCACATTAACCTTTTTTACTACTCGTTTGCGCATAATTTGCATAATTTTTAACAGTAGAAATCTTTTTTCAAAGAAATTTAACTACCTACGTATAGAGTGTACGTAATTTGCGTACGTATCTCCAAATTTTTGAATTGGTCATTAGCAGGGCTGTGCATTTAACGCACTAAAAAGTATTAAATGTATGCATGTATTTTGCATTAGGACAGGCAAAATATATACTAAAAAATAAAAATAAACCATGCAAATGCATTAAATTCACAGAACTGGTCATTATTAATAGTGGAAAATTATTAAACTCTACAACGTTTTTCTTCACCTTTTATAAAGCTTAAGACATACTGTGTAATCATGTTCTGGTATCATATAGACTGGTGAGTTTAAAAATGCTGTTTGAGTTATTTTATTTAGCATAGTTTCCTAATGATTAAAAAAATAAATAATTTTAATTATAATCACAATAATTTTTTTACAACTAATGAACTCAGTCCTTAAAATACTATATATTAAAAAATAAGTTCAAATAGTACATAGTTATTAGGTATATTATAATGGTTAGCGTTTGCATTAAATATGTTAAAATGTCAATTTTTTTAGATTTATAATCAGAGCATATTTTTTTCATATAATTTTGTTTTTCTAATATTTCATTTTTACTGGTAGGTATTTTCTTTATTATTTTTTTTATTGAATTAATTTTTAAATCAGTATCGACTTGAATTTCCATTAAAATTTGAAGTTTTAGATTATTAATAAAGCAATAAAGATTAAAACTTGTTTCACACCACTCATGTATTGGCAAGCTTAGTAATCGCGATTATTATAACATTTATAACGTATTATTACTGCTAAGTGACAACTGATGAGGAACTATGATTGAAAATAATCGTAATAGTTTAAGATACCCTGTACACTCAAAACTGTACCTACAAATAGGTTTTCATTTTTCATTATTTTGTGCGCAAACGAGTGTCAACCCTAGATTATGTTTTAAGACAGGACACTACGTGTTGTCACTGTCTCTTACACACGGGTAGCATGGCAAAACTACGTACAGAATTCTTACTACGGTTTATTCATGGTCAATATTATTGAGAAAATTTACATATTATTGTATTCGTAGCAGATAATATATAATTAAATGAGTCCAAGCGTAAGGTTTATTTCATGTGTTTTTTTTTTTTTAAATAAAATGTAAATATTTTTTTATTTAAATACATTATTTTTCAAATCAACGCAATAATAACAATAATAACAATATTTTCGTTGGTTTGTTTGCGCAGGACATCGCAGTGACAACGACGGAACTGACGCCGGAACTGATCCCGTACGAGGTGCTGAAGAACATCTGCAAGAACAAGGGCGTGTTGCACGCCAACGGGACGTGCACGTGCGCCCCGGGATTCGAGGGCGAATACTGCCAGACGGGCGTGTGCGACGGTTACTGCGTGTTCGGTACGTGCACGCTGTCGGATGCGGGGCAGCCGACGTGCCAGTGCTCGGAGACCAGCTACGGCGACCGGTGCGACAAGCAACTGTGCGCAGGCCGCTGCCAAAACGGGGGCGATTGTCGGATGGACTCGTCGGGCAACCCACATTGCGAGTGTCCGGTCGGGTACGCGGGCGACGCGTGCGAGTACAAGGCGTCCTGGCTGAACGAGGTGTGCTCGGTGTACTGTCAGCACGTCATAGCCAAACAACAACAGTTTTCCGTCTGCAGGTGACTGACAAAGATTATATTTTACTAGTCGACCGATTTGTTAACTGCGTATCGAACAAAAAATAGACATTCGAACACTCGCGGACACCGCGTCGTGTATGGATTTGTACAAATTTGTGCTTTGCCGCTTTGGTATATGGTACAATGCGCTTAGACGTATATGCTTACATAATATATTTCTTTTTTAACGCCGACCGGTGGGTTGTCTGTCATCGATTTTGATCGGTTTTTGAGTTTCGAGGAAAAAAACGCTCTTGTATTCTACCTGCGTATTGATTGATAATATTAATGTTACGATTTACGAGTATTCGTTTAATTGCGATTTCGAATAAAAATCTAAATTTTATTTTAACTTTAGGTTCTCCTCGATTTTTTTCATCGACAATTGATACTTTTAATCACGTAACTTTTGTACGACAAAGCGGTGTATAAAACTATTTGCTCAGTATTTTTAGAAAATAATTCTGTTTCCGGTTATACGTGGGATTCTTAGAAATATATTTTTTTACTCAAGAAATTGTGCATTATCTGCTACTTCAAAGTATGGGAAAAAATAAATTTTCAATCACCAACATTTTACCGAAATAATGATGATGGTTTACGTTAAATATTTGATTAACACTCGATCCGTATAGTATATTTCATAGCAGTTTTAAAATATTACAAAATCACTTAACATGTAGGTATTTATTAATTTATTTCGCTCTGCTTTATCTGAATACATTAAACGTACATATATCAATATTCAATAACTCTGTCGTAAAGTATTCGCGAGTTTGGATTCGTATAAGGTCATCTATAGGGTGGTATAGTGTCTGGTCAAACTGTTGATAACTATGATTTACCTATTATGTTTAATAACTATTATACGAATTCATGATACAAATATCTATTTGTGTTTATTATACACGACGAATCTACGTACAAATGGCGCAATAGTGATAATTCTATACCTTTTCTATGTAAGATCTCAAAGAACAATTAATTATTATTGCAAAATATTATGTGTATACGTACCTACCCGGAAAGTATACATAATCTATATAAACTTATTCTGCTTTAGGATACCTGAATTACCGTCGTCGAGGGGCCTCGATTTGTTATTTCAGTGTATCTAGTACTGCACACATATATTATATTATGCGTGTTACATTTATCATAATATTATAGAATAAAATATATAGATCTATAACATGCTACACTTTCACGATATTATTGTGTTGTGACGGCGACTGCCTTGAAATCAGCAAAATCGTAGTCTCTTACGTACAATGATCTAATATCTATTCACTTACGTATATATGCATGTATTTATGTCTATTAAACGCGATACAACTCTCATCTAATTTTTTCAGTAGTCTTGGCTACTTACGGATTAATTGGTAAACGTCTCAATTTATTATGTACCGCGGTTTATATACCGTTTATACCAAACAATAAATTAGCCCTAAAATTAATAAGATATTAAACATCACGAGGAACACTCTGAAAACGTACATATTATATTTTTAATTTATTTCATGTATTATACGATTAATATAAACATTTATGGACAATGTAATTTTTCTTATTCATAAATACCAGTTACAGAATATTGTACTCGTATATATTATTGCGTTGTAGGGCTTTCCCATACATTATTTCACTTGATGGAGTTGTACACTTGAACCTATGGCGTTAAAATTTCGGTGCAATAAACAGTGAAAATAATGACTATATCATTACGCTAAATGTAATAATAAATATATATATATATATGTGTGTGTGTACTAGTCTCTTTACTCATTCATTTGTTCGTAATTTAAATATGTATGTCTTGTAATAATGTTTCGCCGCCGCCACTAGTGTTTTGTTACGGATTATTTGGAAATACCCAAAAGATGTATGACGTAGGTGCCTACTACTTATATCCGCTTATTATAAATCCAGTAAGCGTGTGTTTTCAATAATTCATAAAAACAACGTCAAAACCGCTCTCAAAAGTGAACAGAACTACTAAATGTATCTCTTAAATACATAAGGTTAAGTATATAGGTACATTTTGTATTGGCTGTTTGCCCCGGATCCTTGCATGTATGTTCAATGTTCATTTAAATAACATATTGAACCAGTGGTTTAAAAAGCACTTGCACGATCTATGTACATACTATTATGTATTATATATTCTAAATTTGTAACCTGTTGAACTTATGTTGTATATGCAATGATAAGGCTGTTTTTTAGACCCGAAGACGCAGTTTAATCGATTTTCATGTAATATTTAATTCCTATATAGACACATTTATTGAAATATTGAATACTTTAATATATCTAGTTTCAAACTTAATAATTTATTTTTATGAACCTATATATTATTATATATTATATGTGTGTAGATAGCATAATTGATACGGAATTCTTGCTTAAACGATTTGAAAGTGATAAATGGTAATAATAAACTGTCAAACATTTGTTTTGCATTATTGTGCAATTACACCGTTTTATTAAATTTATTTATCTCACTTAAAGATTTCATATTGTGTTTATAAAGGAAGGGGGTTGCAAAAACTCGGGATTTATCCTAAGGCCTATTTTTATGTGTAATACGAAATCCGTTACATATAGTGTACTTGTGTAGGCAACACAAAGTTATTAGGTGAGTGTAACGACTATGTAATTTGCAACACTTTTATATGATCATATAAATAATATTTGATGTTTTATCGTTGGCTGTGACAATAATTTATCAGTTATGGACTTGTTTTATACTTCAGTTATTCGGTAATTTGTTATCAATTATATGTATATGTATGGTATTAAATGTTTAAACATTTTAATGAGTCTACGTAAAGGTTAAGAATCATAATATGTATATTCATTTTTATCAAAATAAGAAAGATGAAATTTCCCCCACATATGTATTTGTTTGCTGTGTGTTTGTATGTGGATTAAAAAAAAAAAAATGGCTATTAGGTATAACATACCGACTCATCAATATTTGGCCATAATGGTTTTTGACATCCCACGATAATGATTGTAAATTGTTTTTCAGGTGCGAAGAGTACAGGCAGCAGTTTGATTACTCGGAAATGGCTATGCTCAATCATTCGGACATTTCACCGTGCAAGCTCAGCAAGAGCGTGGTGGCCGTGATCGCCATACTCACGGTGTTCGTTGCCAGCCTTAGCACCATAACCATAGTGCTGGCCAGGAAAGTACGGTTGCTGGGCCGCCGACCCAGGATCAAGAAGCGCATTGTGGTAAACAAGAGCATCACGCCGTTGACGTGTCGGCCGCCACAACAGGAAAACCAACAGTGCGAGATAACTATCGAGAACTGTTGTAACATGAACATTTGTGAAACGGTAAGCTAAACGGGCAGTTGGTGTCTTGAAAACTTAATAACGATCTGTTATAATTTATCATATGTGTTCCCGATCTTTGCGCAAATTCATATTACACTTTATTTAAAATAATTCCGATTAAATATGTCGAAGTTTCGTAATACTTAGATTCACTAGTCAATTTTGGTATTTTTAAAGTTTTTTTGTGAATTTAAGTAAAAATTAATCAAAGTTTCTTATTTTTAAGAAATTGTGTAAATATTACATATTTTATTAACATTAAATGAAATAATTTAAATTTTGCTCAAAGTTAACTTAAGATTTTTACTGTAACGGTCAACGGGTTATAAAACTATTTCAAGCATAAAATTATCGAACGGCTGTCTGGATAAATTTATTATTAACTTATTAATTCATACTGTATTAATTGAAATAAATTATGTTTATTTAAAATATCACCATGCAATTAATTTGTACATATTTAAAAACTATTTTATTTTCTTGTATTTTTATGGATAAAGTAATTTTATTATAAACATACACATATTACTTGTATTTCACTGTGGATCATAGGCGGATATTTGATTAGATTTTAGGGGGGGGGCTTAAATCTTTCTTTGCATTGCTGCAAAATAGGTACCTAATTAATACTTAAATATATGTACAATAATTTCCGCCTATGTTGTGGATGTATACTCCTTGCATATTTTTGAAATTTCGTGGACATGTAATATATTCTACAATGATATACGTTTGCGTAAAAATGGGCACTACAATCACTGTAATATTATATTATTACTTATTATTATTAATAATAAGTAATTAAAAATTATTAAGTTAAAAATATGTTTGAAATTAAATTTTTGTTTTTAGCCATGTTTCGAACCGGATTTTCGGTCACCCAAGATGGGAGGTCTGTTGTCGTTGAGCAAGTCGAAAAAAGAAGACAAAGCGAATTTGTTGAGTAATACAGACATGTCGAGTGAAGACGAAAAACCGTTGTATTGATATAGTCTGGTGTAAAATGTAAATGTAATTGATTCGTTTTTACCAATGTTTTTACTTAAGGGGCTGTATAGGTATAATGCGTTGTGCATTGTTGTTGTTGTCGTTGTTGTTGTAGTTGGACAAATTTGTGATATTCTATATTGTTCCAAGCCATTCGGTTTCCAATTTTTTTACGATTTAAACTGTCAAAGAGAGTGTCGTTTAGAGCATTACTATTATTTATTTGTAGAAAGTATTTACAGGAAAAGCTTGATTTTTATACCAAATATTTTTTTATTGAAACGTATCGTGTGTTTGCGAAAATTATGTACTTACTGCAAGTACGGTTTTTATAGTTCCATAGTACGATACGCGTTTGACTCTAAATGCATGTACCGCTCTTTATTCTTTCCAATCATGCAGCCCCCCTCCCCCAAATCCATATGATTCTATTATTATTATTATTATTATTTTATTTTAATATTATTATTATTATTTTTTTTTTTTTTTTTTTTTAACAAACTGTTTTTAATACAAGACTGGAAATTTGTATCTTAAGTATTTTTTTTTCGTTTTATTGTTAAAACTAGTGAAATTAGTGTATTGTCGTTACAATAAGTATTTATATTTTGTAAATTAAATATTTATCTTTAAAAATAAATCATATATATTATATGGTATGACGTATGTTATATAATATTGTTATATATTATAATATTATACCTACTGATAAGTATTTGCGAATTTTTTTGTAAAACGTCGCATAGTAATATAATATACGTATTATTATTTAACTCTTAAAAAAAAATGTCTTTTTTGTTCGAATAATATAATGACCTATCTCTACATAATTTATTTTTAACCGCACGCCATATTATATGTTCTATTCTTGTTTTGGTAAAGACTAAAGACTAAATATAAACCCGTTTTGACTATCCCTATAACAATAGAATATAGATGTAGATTAATGTTTGTAATTTGGCAATTTCCGGTCGATCATTTCGTTGACATTTACTTAAATTAGGGTAAATAGCAAAGAAGAGGTCAGTTGGCCGTCGGCCGTGTTACTTTCGATCGACAGCGATAATAATAATTACTGCTGTTGACTATCGATGTCATGAAAGTTTCAGTCCATTTGATTTTACCATAGTGAATATTAACGTTCCTAATTTCCTATTTATACCTATCCAATTTGTTTTTTGAGTCCTTCTTATCCACAAAATACCATCCTGAGTTTACGCCTATTTACTCCGCACACTTTCTATACAAAATCAAACTTATGATGGAGAGACTAAGGGTAAAAAAGTTAAGGTGTATTGCTGTTTATGAATTCGTTAGGTAACACAGTGACAAATTTTTGGAGTGTGCACGGAGTTTATGGAATCCAGGCAGAACAGAAAATAATTACCCAATTCAGATTTTCAATGTTTTACTTAAAATCAAAAATAATCATTAAAAAGATTTTTTTCCTTTGTAGATTATAATTTTTATGATTTTAAAATGAATGATTTCTAACATTCTTTGACTGCTGTTAGTGACAGTATCTCAATATCTCACGAGTCATTAATGTATAATGACACGTACGGTGAGCATAATCAATCTTAAAATGCTCGAATAACAATAGTTTCGGTCAAGGCATAGGCGTAATTTATAATTTTTTTTCTCGAGAGTAACTAGATAAATTTGTTTCAAGTCACGTGCCATTTTCCGTCTCAAAAAACGTAAGGCAATTCCGTACAAAAAATGTTAATTATTTTTAGTATTAGTTAAAAATGTTTTTCACTCTTGATATCTTATACTCGAAAATATAAGGGGTGACAGAATCAAAACGAAAAAAAGATAAATATAAATGAGTATTGCTCTGCTGTATAATAGTCTACATGAATTTTTTTTTTTAAAGTATTGTAATATTCCTCAAAAATGTCAGGAATCTTCTAAAACCATGTTAAATGCCCGAATTTTCTACATCGTTTGTAATATTCGTTTTAGTTAGTATATGATTAATAACGAATGGATGAAAGCACTTGAGTAGATTGTCAATATTAATATGGGACCAAATCGACTATTTTTTGGTTTTCAAAATTTCGTTTTATCGAGCAAACACATGACATGTGTATGAAGCAACATGATATTATCTTGAGCTAGAACTTAGAAGTTCATTTCATTTATGAATCTCCAGAGTTTAAGATTACTATTCCTTCGGAATTCTTTATTTCCTAAGTTTTAAAACTGTCAAACATATTATTTGTTAATTCGTTACAGTGGCGTACTCACGGGGGTGGGGGGGTATGGGGTTTGACCCCCCCACCCATTGACGTATTTTTTTTTTAAACTATTTCATATGCGTATCCCAATATACTATTTTTTTACCAACAATATCACGGTTATTAATTAAGTGATTAAATTAATAAAATACAGTCAACTGGCGATATAACGAATTTCAAGGGACCGAGAAAAAAAATTCGTTATATCGAAAGTTCGTTACATCGAAATTCGTTATATCAAGAGAATATACCAATTGAATTCGTTATAACAAAATTTAAAACAAAAATTCAAAATTTTATTATTCGTATACATATGTATAAAATATAATATGAGTCATATAAGTATGTATTTATTGTTTAATTTCAATATAAATGTATGTAATATTTCTAATAAAAATATGCTATAATAATAATATTGCTTTTAATATGTACATATAATAAATCGCTATACATGTGTGCATTTATTTTTTTAAAAAATCAGATATTTTTGATTGTTTGCAACTGCTTGAGTTTACCTAATCAACAGTATTGTCCAGATTTAAAATGCTAGAAAACACACTGTCGTCAATATCATGTCTCTGTAAATAACTTAAGACGGCGCGAAGACCTAATTTGGCTTCCTTCAAGGTTACGATGGGTTCTTCAGAAGATTCTTCTTCGTCATTTTCTTTAAACGGTACCGATATGTTACATAGTATGTTACGTACATTTTGCGTAGAACCACTAATCGACATAAGTCTTATTTTAATTGCGATACTGTACTCGAGTGTACTATCGCATGATAATCATCAGAAAAATTTCGTAATCTATTAGGTGGTAATAGCAACATACTTATTTTTATATATTTTCCATTGAGTTATACACTAGAGACATCAGACATGTATCTTATTTTAATTAAAATTAAAAATTCGTAATAGAAAGCTCCAAATTTATAAAAATTTGTTACATCGCGAGGTTTTGATCAAAAACGCTTCGCTATATCGAGGGGACCAAAATACATAACATATTTTGTTCGTTATACCGCGATATTTTCAAGGGACCGGTAGTTTTATTCGTTATATCGCGAGTTGACTGTAAATAAAAATAAAATTGATAATTGATTAATGATTATTGATTTTACTGATTATAATAATATAGTGGTTAATACTCACGAACTATAATCTATAAACTATAATTATAATCTTAGTCCGTGTTAATACCTCAGTTACCAGCACCACGAATCACGATTGTGAACACAAGATAGTACTATCTTTAATCGTGGTCAATATACATTTTAATTTAATGATTTGGTTTATTGTGTATTGTGATAATGCGAATATGTGATGATAACGATGCTTTCAATTCATGGATATGACATATTATGTGCCTTTAACTACTGAGGAAGTGGTAGACGATATGGCAAAAAAGCCCAGAAAATTAGATTTTTTATTATAATGTGATGCTAATAAATATATAATTTTTTAAATAGTACAAAATTTGTAATTATTATGATTAGGGGGGAGCAGATCCCCCCCACTTTTAGATTCCAGTAAACTTTCAGAGCCCCCCCTCCATTGAAAATTCCTGAGAATGCCACTGGATGGGTATACCAATTCATTAAAAATTTTATTAATAATAATTAATTTATCAATAAGCATGTAGTTACTATATATTTATAAAACTATAATCGCTATTCAATAGTTCAAAATTTGTGAACTGTACGTACCAGATATTATGTATGTTAGGAAAGTTAAAAATAATTTTAAAATTATTATGTCTTATGCTTATATATTATATGTAGTAATCGATAATGAAAAAGGTTAGGATGATTTTAATTTTTACAATTTTTCAAATTTAAATGTCTGTATGATATTTTGTTTATGTAAAATATATTAAAATCCCGAGTAAATAAATTATTTTCATTTTTATAATATTAAAGTTGCCAACACAAAAATGAAACTTAAATCATAAATGTTTATTTTTATTGAATAAATTGCATTTTATGTAATTGCTTATTTGCAACTAACAGGGATGTTTCTCAAAATAAATGCTTAAATCTAAGAAATATTCAATAGCATATTTATGGGTTTAACCATTTTCAATTATCTTTGTATAATAAAGTTGTAAGTACTTATTTACTTATTTAAAATATTGTTCAGCAAATCAGGATCGATATGGCTTTGGATTCAGTTAATTTTTTAGAGCATGCCATTTTTCAACCTTGTCTAATGTGGAATATTTATTATAAAATAACTTCTGGAATATCAATTCGTAGTTAGCATATAACACGTGTTTTTGATTTCTATTTTTTAATGTTCAAATATTTAAACATTTTACTTAGGGGTAATTTTCTCCCAAAGCATTATAAAATGAAAACAAATAATAATAATAAAGGGATTTCATTGACCAATGGTCAAAACACATGTCCTTAAAAGTCGGTGAATAAAATAGTGAAGAATATTTATCAATGATTTTATAATCCAGTGGCATTGAAGTCATAAAATATTTAATGAAACATTGAAACACAAATTTAGAGTTATTGTGTCAGTGGTAGCGTCAGAATTTTTCTCTAGGAAGAGCCAACAGATCAATAGGGGGTCAATATTATATAGTCAAGCCATCCTGGTTATATAAAAATGAGATTTCAGCCTTGAAGAAAAAAAAAATAATTTAAATGAGTTAATTAATTTTTTTGGTTTAATCAAGAAATTGATTATATTATTTCTGTTAAGCATAATATTTTAGGTATAATAAAAATACATGTATTTTATGATAAACAGTATTAAATAAAAATTTAAGACTACAAAGCATGAAAAAAATGTAATACAGATTATAGGAAATACTGCTCACTAACACTTTACCAATCAACAATTTCACAAGTAAATTATATAACAATAATAAAATGAAAGTTAATTTTAAAAATAATGTTTATAGATATATACATACATAAAATATATATCAATATGACAAATCCTATATATGTAAAACAAAGACCATTATTGATTTTAAATACAAGTAGGTTAAAGGTAGTACAATTATTTAAAATATAGTAGTATATAATTGTTAATAACATATCTTTGTGCATCTATGGTGAATTATTACTAATTATAAATTTTTTTTTATACTTAGAAATGTGATCAGATTACTATGTTTATAATCAAGCCATGCACTTCTAGGTAGGGCCATGGCCCAACCTAATGTTGCCAATATAGCAATGTTCTAGGGGGTTTTCATTACTAGCAACTGTTATTATTAAATAATACAGAATATAAATTTGATTTAACGTCATTATATGCAATTGAATTAAAATAATATTGAAAGTTATGTTATTTTTATAAAAAATTAGCTTAATAAATTATTTCACTATTGGTAAATATGGAGTGGAGAATTTTATAAAATAGATAATTTCATTTGGTTTCAAAAGTCTTGAAAGAACAGGTCTCAAACTCACTATAATTATAATTTATATACATAAAAAAAAAAAAACATGAACACAATTTTATATCATTCAATGATAAATATATACAAAGATAATAATAATTATTCCCAAAATAAGCGATTGAATGTACTTTGAGACTGTAAAATTCGCACTTGTTTATAAAATTTCAATGCATGTCCAAGTTTCAAACCCATGTTTGATACGATATCATCACGTTGAAGTAATTGTAGAGAGCGACCATCAATATCCTACAATTAATAAAAAACAAATACTTCTAAGTATAGATTTAACGATTTAACATTATAAATTATGCACAACATAATTAAATGAAACTATTACTTTTATTAATTAATTAATTATTAATATCTTACGCAATTAATTAGTTGATCAATAATTTCTTTGGGTAAATGTTCTGATAAATATTCAAACAATTGATCTTTATTCCATTTCAATACATTTGGGATATCATTATCATGGAAATCATCGTATTGTTCATAGTCTGATGAACTATATGATTTATTACTTCTAGAACAAGTGTCATCTTCATCAGACGATAAAGACATAATACTAGATGTGTGTGATTGTTCAACATTATCTAAACACAAATTTCATTTAATTTACCAATAGTTTATATCTTTAATAAGTTTAAATCGTCTAGTATTACCTTTAATATCAAATACTTCAACTTCTTCTTGGTTTATTTGAGTAGCCAAAGTCATGCAAGGGATACATACATACATATCAGGTTCTACTTTATGTAAAGGTTTAATTTCATATGATTCATAACAAATGCTGTGTAATCCAACATCACAAGAAACACAGTGATACATTACCTATAAATGAAATTGAATAATTAAGTATTTAGTTATTAATAAATATCATTATTACTAAGTTAACCTTCAGGCCTTCGTCTTTGAGACATTTACTGCAGTTTTGTTTTCTGCATTGTTTACAGAGCCAAGGACTTAAATCTAATTTGAACTTCCACACGGGCTCATCCACTATTAGACAGTCTTTATGAGCTATAAAAAATTAATTAAAAATGTTAGTGGTAAAATAAATTTTTTTTATGATATAATTATTTCTACCTTTGATCAAACAAATTGGACAATCAAGTAATTCTTTATTTTCTAAAATTTTTGAACACATATAACACATTTTTGATAATGTTTCCTTAGTTACTTCAGGAGTAGCACTTTTTACTGGAGAATTTACTGGAGATATAGTGTTGATTTCAGTTGACGAACTATCTAATGATTCAGTTATAGAATTAACTCGAAGACTTTTTGCCTTAGTAGTATCTTGTTTTCTTCTTCTATCACTTGTAGTTTTTCTTACAGTAGTGACTTCTATAGATTTATCATTTTTATAAGAATATTTAGCTCTCTTCTTCGGTATATGATTATCAGATGGATCAAATACTACTTTGGCTTTCTATATTAAAAAAAAAAAAAAAAAAACAAAAATTAATTGAAAGTAACGCTGTATAATTTAATATATCAATACTAACCATGTTTCTATGAGGTCTTGCAGGTACAGGTTCATCATGAGAAATTACTTTCTTCTTGGGCATTGTTATTGATGGAAAGACACCTTGAGTAAATACACAAAATAATTATAGTAAATATATAATTTATAGGACAGATACAAAATAGTTATACAATTATACATAAAAATTTAAAAAAATGGAAAAAACCTATATTTTTATAATATTTTAAATCAAACAGTATCCTATTGATTTATCAACTCATTATAATATACAACAGTTTTAATGTGTTAAGTAATGTAAAAAATTATAATTTATTAATCTTTTACAATACATATAATAATATTGAATTTTAAAGGCAGTAAATTAGATTAAATATATTTAATAAGATATATATATCATTTACAATAATTAAAAATTATTATCATTTTTTATCAAGGAACAATAATTTTTTTTGCATAAATACAATAATTATTTGAATAAAAAACTTAAAACTTGTTATTATAAACTAAGTTTAATCACAATAATATAATATTTTCTTATGATATTGTACATAAGACAGTTAATTGGTCATATAACTATTTAATAGTTAACATTTTAGTAGTATTGTTTCTTATATTTCAAGTAATGCATTTACAGTTAGTAACTAATAAAAAATATTGTATTATGTATAGTTATAATTAGTCTCTACATTAATCAGCAAAAAATAATTAAATTTATAAAAGTAAGTTTTAAATACAAATCAATTACGGTTTACTTACTTTAAAGCACAAATGAAATCGTCCTGTTGTTTCAAAAAAAGAAGTGATGGCGTTGAAAAATGTTTTCTATTGATATATAATATATATATATATAATTATTATATATATATGTGTGTGTGTGTGTAAATGTTCTATCACATTTAATATTATAATGCAAACGGCAGTTGTATTCTATTACAACAACACGAAAATGATAAATTTAAATTTTGTTTGAAGTACAAAAAGAAGAAAATTTCGATCAGGATTCACAAATCACACTTCACAATAAATGATATCGGCTATGATTCAAAATAACATGAATTTAGAGGTAATAACTGGTATATTTGGCCCGTTTGGGTACATATCGTCCTATAGTTAAAGAAGACGTGAAATAAGAAATTTCGTTCGTAATAATAAGCGCCACCGACCGTATGGTTTCAACCATACGGACTTGCGGTATCCTCCGGGCGTACGTACGACGAGGGAAAAAGACTGATGTCACATTGGCTAACCTGTCCGCTAGATGTCTGTCTCACTCGTTTGAATTATCACTCACTCTCACACTGTCGTCCTTGCGCGCTGATAACGCGTTTGTTTGTGTTTTGAATATTATTGCGTTACCGTAATTACGGACCGCGTTCGTTGATCAATCTTTTATTGTTATTATTACCTGCTGAAACGCGACTGCTGACGGCCGAAAAACGGACAAACTAAACCGCATTGTGCACGTTGCATGACGTTCTACCGGTTTCTGCGTTTTGTTGTTCAATTCGTTCCTCGTCGAGTTTTCACGACATTTATATTTTGTAAATCAGTTCTCGTCTAAATTATTTGTCCACTAAAAGTGTATGTGCGTGCGATTCTTCTCAAATCACTCTAGTGCGTTGACGGTCGTTCTTAGATACGTAAGTCAATTCTGCTAGATGATAAGCGTGACGGGGAGATGTAACAACAGTAGTAGCGGTCGTGTATCGGCGATGTCCAAAGAGTGCCGGATTGTAAACGGCGGTGGCGGCGTCGTTGCTGGTGGATTCGTGAACCATTGTGAGGAGGTGCTTGATGAACAAAATGAAATGATAATGGCCGCGTCCAAGATCACCGTAGCCGCTGGCAATAATCAAGCGGTGGCCTCCATCAACCACCGCGTTTACCCACCGTCGTCCAATGAGTCGAGTAGATTAAAGGATCTTCAAGGTGCAAATGTAGAGTTAATAGACGAGATTTTAAACTATGCTCAGCAAGCTTATAAACGAGTATTTGAATTGGAAAAAGAATTGGAGCAGGTGAGTGACCATTTAACAGTTGTAGTAATTTAAAAATGTAAAAGTTAATATTATAATTTCATAATTTAATTTAAAGTACATAATTTACATTACCATTATAATTCTTTATTGTATAGTACAAACAGAAGTCTACAGATAGTGATCAAGGTTTTGCTGAAATAAGTGCTAGAGTAGAAAACTTGGATGTTTTGCCATTCACACCAGTTTCTTCAACATGTTCGTCTGGTATAGGAGATTTGAATTCGGCTGAACTACATGATCACCAAGAACAACAAGACATTAAACCTAAAAGACGTAGAATTCGTCAAGCAGCTATAAAACAACCAAACCCAGATCCATTAGAATCCAATCAGACAAAACGTCCTAGAACTAGAAATACACGAGCTAAATCAGGTTGGTTTTTTTTTAAAATTAAATTTAAAATTTTCTCATTAAAGCATAATTTTTATTTATTTACTGTATTTACCGTGTTAAGCTAAAATAGGTAAAATGCAAGAATTGTCTTTAATCACAGCAGACAATGCATATTACACTTGTTTAGGAAATTATGATCCTGTAAAAGATGAACCAGTTTCCGAAAATAGTAATAGTAATTTAGAAGTAAGTATTTAATTGTATATGTGTATTATTTACTTAGTATTTATTATTCACTTTATAACATTAATATATATAATTTTTTAGATACCAAGTTGGAGGGTTAAAACATATTCTAGTTGGTATTCTATGGAAGGTACAGAAAATATGTCTGATGATATATTTGAAAGCCGGCACTTTAGACTTGAACAATGTGAACAAAAACGAAAAAGGTAATGCTTTTAAAGATTGTTTTTTTTCTTGTGTGTATAGTATACTGCGTATTGTTAACAATTTTATATTGTTCTGTCAGATGGGATTTGCAACGAATTAGAGAGCTAAAACGAGTAGAGTATTTGAAAGAAGGTCGTAATAAACACCTTTCACAGAAATCTGATGACAATAATAAGGAAGAATTGACAACTTTATTGCCAAGTCCATCAAACATTAAAGCAATTGAAATCACAGATAAATTACCTGTGTCCGCATTTGGTTGCAATTTACATATTAAAAAGAAACTTGAGATGTTAGTACCTATTTATATTATTTACCCAAAAGCTATTTATTTTCATATTATATTCAGTATTTTGTTTTTGAATTATACTGAACATACAGTTATTTATATGTATAAATTATGAATATTTAACAAAACTATCTTTATTGCTTTCCAGATTTAAATTTTGTCATAGTCAATGGTGTAATGATGGCTCTCAAGCACCAAAAGAATGTAACATGCGTGAACTTCGTTCTTCTGGTTGTAGTCGGTTTTTTGATACCTTGTAGGTTATTATTTTCATGTAATTTTTGTGACAAAATAATAGATCTGGACATTTTCGCTTGAAACTATTTGATTATTTGTTATATAATGTATAAAAAAAATCTTGTATGTATAATTTACTCCCACAGAGATTAACAATTGTTGTGATATTTATCTAGTATTTAGGACATTTTATTTTTTTTTTCTATTATTCTATTATCAATTTTATTTTTATTTAAAATTTTATTTGTATTCAAGTGTTGCAAATAATAAATATAGTACCCTGCTAAAGTCCTATAAAATAGTATTTTCAATTTGTTATAAAATTTAATTAGTTATTTATTAGTCATTAATATATTGTATATATTTAAACTATGATTTTAACATGAGTATGTCTTCATTTCACTTTAATATTCATGTTTCTTAAAGCATTTCCTGTATACAATAAATATTGTTTTTATACTAGCATACTAGAAATCTCTTGACATAATCGCTGTATTTTATTTCACTGGAGTTGATAATTTTCTATTAAGAGCTTTTTTGGATATAATAGATATGTTTAATATCTAAAAAACTGCTATTATCATGCCAATGGTACAGCATACTTTGAAATAAACAAATCTATTGAATTTTAAGCATAAAATTATTCACTTATTCATAAAATTTATTTCAAATCTATCACTCACCACCACTAATATGATATCTGATGGGATTCAATAATAATTATTTTTACTTAAAGAAATGTCATAGTTAATTAGCTATTTTTAAACATTTATAGTGCACTTATTTGTTTATAAGACTATTAATTAAATCCTAGTTCACATAAACACAGTGTCAATTTAAATTTTCTTAATATGTAGGCAATTGACTTTGAAGTCTAGAGTCTATTAATGATCAGGGATATTGATAAAATAACCTTACTCTTGATGTAATTGGTTATAAAACTTTTTTTGTATAATAGTCAAAAATAGAACTTATTTTTTATGGAGAAATATTAATTTGATATAAGTTTTTATGAATTTTATTGATGGTAGAAAAAGCCATGAGAGTCATGTAGAGTGTATAGTTTAACATCAAGACTTTTTATTAAGACTTAGTACCAAATGTATAAGTTTTTTGCAAATTAATATTTTTATAATTTATATTTTATGGACAAATTAAGCTTGCTATTGAATATTATTTATACAAATCCTTATAAGCAATTAAAACAATAATCATAATTTTAAATTTATAAAAAACCATTAAAGTTGAAAAATAAATTGACACATGTTGCTTAAGTAGAATCAAGAAAACATTTTTTTTTAGTATGATTTTCTATCTTATTTTTTTTTTCAGTGAACAATAATTTACAGTAGTATCAATGCAGTTAAAATTGTTTTTTGACAAACCATAACTAATGATATAATATTGCTTGAAGTTATTAGGTAAAAGGCAAAGTATTCATCCATAATTATTGAATTTTGTTAAATTTTGAAGTCTGGTTGCAAAAATTACATCATCCAAAATATGTAACCTATTTTAATATGAATCTACTATCTTTATAAAGTTTACTATTATTACTTAAAATTGTTTATTTGGTAAAATTATTTATTATTGAACTTTAAATTTACAATATTTGTAAACATTTTTGATATTTTGATTTTTATATAATTAATAAATTAAATTTCAAGTTTTTTTTGTTACCTTTGTTTTAAATTTGAAATTAATTTACTATACTTCCTCAATATTTATTATTTAGCATAATAAAAGGATTAAATATTCTGTAAGGTATATGAAATATTTAAATTTTAAAATGTTTTTCAAGTTTTTAATAATAATATTTATCTAGTGTTAATAAATGTATGCAATATTGTTCTTGTTAGGGCAAAAATATGCATTAAAATGATACTTTCTGAGTAAAGTAAAGAATACAAGTCTGTATTTGTCTTAAAAATTTTGATGTGCATCTTTATTTGATGAAGAAAATGGAGTATTTTATTTAAATAGTTCAACACTGTGATCATTTCTAGTTTGTTGAATATTTAAAATAGGTGTCTTTTACATTCCTTGTAAGGTAACACGCTCACAAATTGATTATTGTTGTGATAATTAGGTACTGATATTTATTTAGGTACCAATATACTATATATTATATTGGCATATATTTACTATACATTATTATGTTAGGTATAATTATATAGTCCTATACAAACGTGTATGTATATATTTAAATCTGTTTATACTTCCAAATAACTTAATAAATTAAATATATAAATAGTTATACGTGTACATCAATATAATATATGTACATTAATTGTACAATGTATGTATATTATATATTGTATATTATGTGAGTGTGAGTGTGTATATCTGCTAAAACCGTGATCCTGCACTTTAGAAACATTTTCTGTGCACAATGGACGGGCCGCTCTCGTCGTATTCGGTCTTCGAAATCCACATCTGTTGAAAAGTAGACAGGGACGCCAAGATAGAACCACCGATCCATACGGAGTATTTGCGTTCGGGCGGTGCGATCGTTTTGATTTTCATCGTGGAAGGGGCAAGTGATGTGATTTCCTTCTGCATCCTGTCTGCGATGCCTGGGTACATGGTAGTACCGCCGGACAGAACTGTATTGGCGTACAGGTCTTTCCTGATGTCCACGTCGCATTTCATGATCGAGTTGTACGTGGTTTCGTGAATGCCGGCCGATTCCATTCCCAAGAATGACGGTTGGAACAACGATTCCGGACACCGGAAACGTTCGTTACCGATGGTGATCACCTGTAGAGTGAGGACTGGTTATAAAATAATATTTTTTATCAAGTACCTAAGTATCGATGACTTCCGAGTCGGGATTGAAGCACTCATCGATCATTACACTCACTTGTCCGTCTGGGAGTTCATAAGATTTCTCCAGAGCGCTGGATGACGCAGCCGTCTGCATTTCTTGTTCGAAATCGAGCGCCACGTAACATAACTTCTCCTTAATGTCGCGAACAATTTCTCGTTCAGCGGTAGTCGTGAAGCTATAACCCCTTTCAGTGAGGATCTTCATTAGGTAGTCCGTGAGATCACGGCCGGCTAAGTCCAAACGGAGTATGGCGTGTGGTAAGGCGTAACCTTCGTAGATTGGCACAGTGTGGGACACACCATCACCAGAGTCCAAAACTATACCAGTCGTCCGACCAGAAGCGTACAAGGATAGTACGGCTTGGATGGCCACATACATTGCTGGGGTGTTGAACGTTTCGAACATGATCTGAAAACAAATATGTGCATATGTTACTCGTGTTAATTTTAGGGTAAATAAACGGTACGATATATAACTGCTGCAGTGATCTTAATCGCAACTATTTAAAAAAAAAAAAAGTTTAATTCATAATTTTTGCAAGATCTGGTCCTATCCTAAGTAGCGACTATGTCTCCGAGTAACGTATCCAATAAATGTACGTAGATACAGGACGATTTTACACCCCTTCTCTAATCATTTATTTCGTTTTTGTTTGGTTTAATCACGGGTGTCTGGACGTCTAGATTATTGATTTGTTATGTTCTATACTTGTCTAATACATTATGTGTAACGTACAAAAAACTTAATAACCATAAGACTGGCATTATAGAAGCTTATAATACAATTATCTAGATCAATTATTATAATTGATATATTTATTATTTAAATAATATACGATATTAATATGTGATCAAAGTAAATTTTGGATTTAAGGTCGCCCTGAATTAGTTAGATATAGGTACTTTAATAAGTTATCAGGCCAATCAGGGGTAGATTTAAGGGGGGCCTAGACCAAGGGACCCTCACAAATAAATACCTTAACTCTTAAGCAATAAGTGTAGTCGTGTTTTTTTTTTAATTTCCCTAATTATTTGCTAAAAATATATTTTATTTTTCTATGTTTCAAAGTTTCACACAAGTTTTAATTGAGTAAACGAATCATTAGATTGAGATTGATGATTTTTTACCATAAAATTACACATTAGTATCGGATGTTGCCTTGTAATCGTAATAGTTATTTTTATTTCAAAACTAATATTATTATGTGCGCAGTGTAATAATTAGTCAACATCAGAAGGCAACTAAAAAATTCTTCAGTTGTGATGGCGCAGATGTCCCAAAAAGCCGACCCTGTACGTAATAAACTTATTCTGCAGATTTTTTGACAAAAATTTGAATCGATCAACCAGTAAATCGCGAGTATAAGTAAGCATATAGGCAACTATAGACAAGAACGTATCGGAAAATTTCTCAGGGGGGCTAAGTCCAGACGCTTTACATCATCGCTCGTTACCTGTGTCATTTTCTCTCGGTTGGCCTTTGGATTGAGCGGCGCTTCGGTCAGTAACACTGGGTGCTCTTCGGGGGCTACACGGAGCTCGTTGTAGAACGTGTGGTGCCATACCTTTTCCATATCGTCCCAGTTAGTGACGATACCGTGTTCGATGGGATACTTGACTGTGAGCACGCCCCTTTTGGACTGTGCTTCGTCACCGACGTAGCTGTCCTTTTGTCCCATGCCCACCATGATGCCCTGCAGACGTGCGCCACGTGAATAATGTATAGTACATCGAAATATGTCGCGAGAAATATTCCATCTCAATCATAATCGTAAATATAAAATATTTTCTGTCATTTACTTGGTACCGCGGACGTCCGACAATCGACGGGAACACCGCTCTAGGCGCATCGTCACCAGCGAATCCGGCTTTACACATACCGGAACCGTTGTCCACAACCAGAGCTGCCACGTCTTCGTCGCACATGATTTCGGTTTTATTTTCTAGAAATAAAAATAACAAAAATCAGACTTGTTGTCGATTACGACGACGTCGGCCAGAAAACGAAAAATCTATGAAAAATAATCCGCCGTCTTGCCGAAAAAAAAAAAAAAAAAAAAAATAATATTTTCGAATAAATTTCTACCTTCCGAACTGTGATAAATAAATAAATAAATAAACGTGCAAACGAAACGGCGTTTGCGCGATGCGATCGGAGAATGGCGAATGTGTGTAGACTGCGATGGCGGGCTCGAGTCAGTTTATATAGGTACGTCGTACGGCCGCCCCAAGACCGTTCGGCGGTCGAAAGTGAAAATCTGTCGCGTGGTAGGGTTCGCGTTGTACGGCAACGGGCCCGACGACGGTAAAGGTCGTCTGTCCGTCATCGTCGGCAACGCGAACACAATACGCGCGAGTTTATGACCATATCTGAC